GTTGTTAACTGACCGACTGACTGACCCCTGTGGGGATTGTGTTTTTTCCTCTTTGTCTGTCAGCGACTTGGATTCAGAGATGCAGAAAGCATTTCATAAGTACGTGGAAGCCAGAGGGCTGGAACCCATCACCATTAACTTCTTGTTCCAGTTCGTGGCGAACAAGGTCAAGACAGACTGGTTGAATTGTTTGCACAGAGTCAAGAAGTTTGTGGAGGACTGAGACGGAGCTTCGGTGAAGCTGCTGGAGAACAGAACATCTTATAGTCAGACCAGAAAGTCTCCAGGCCGCTCTTGGTTAACTAGTGTGGGTGGTGACGATGGTTTAAACTCAAAATAGATAAGCTCATCTCGCATACTGTTGGGAGCGGAAAATATGATATTTGTATAATGAGAATATAGTATACGATTTACAGGAATATATATTTGTCCAAAAAAAAAATGTATATGAAATCAAGTATTCAAGAATATGATATTTATGTTATGAGAATATGATATTCTTAAGACTTAATGATATTTATGGTATGAAAATATGATATTTTTGAAGGCTTGATTTTTTACTACTATCTATTATAAGAATATTTTTTTTGTTGGATGAATACATATTCCTGTAAATCGTATATTATATTATCATTACACAAATATCATATTCTCCGCTGAGAGGATCATTCCGATCCGGTTTAAAATCTGCTAACACGGATTTGGATAGGGCCTAAGCCTTATACAACTACTTCGGGCCATTTTAGTGTAATCAGAGAAAAAACTCGACCAGCTTGAACAAAATGGTTGAAATTTGACCTTGTCAAATACTTCCAAACTCCACCTATATAACAAATCATGAATTGTTAGCTCCAGTGAGGTCGGACGTTATTTTTTTATAATGTTTTGTGAGTGGATATATGTTGTCTTAGCTAGAATGGAATGGTTGAAATTTGATCTTGCCAAATTACTTCCAAACTCCACCATCTGATAATAAATTGTTAGCTCCAGTGAAATCGTACGTTATTTTTTTTTATAATGTTGTGGGTGGATTTGGCTCTGACAAATTAAACTTTCTTTTCCGTTTTGCACTTGTTATTTTGCGTTTAAGTGTCTTTTTTAGTTCGTTTTAGAGTTATGTTGTGACTCCTATATAATGAGGAGAGTCTTATTGTATGAAGGATCATCGAACATTAAAAATAGTTTTATTTATCAAAGAAATCGACAGAATTCTGAGTCCAAGTTTGAACTATTGTGGATGAGCGAGGATATAATTAACATACATTTATTTTAAAAATATAGAAGTTGTTGGAGAGAAAGAAGCGTTCGCCGTCGCTTCCCCTGGTCGCCGCCGCCGAGTCTCTGTCTCCGTTTACTCCTGGTTACTCGGGGCCGAGAATCTGCTTCTGGATCTGCCGTCGTGAGAGATCCGGCGCAGCTGTCACCAACATCATCGCAGTCAACATGCTCCAGTTTCGCCAGCAGATCAGGATTTCCTCGTCGACCGTCGTCGGCCTTTCTCATGTCTGCCACCGCCGCGGCCGAGTCTCTGTCTTCTGTCAAACATCATCGTAACCGCAACAACAAAGTCAGCGTCGTGACGGTCAGACTTCTACTACATAATGAGGAAGATATGCCCAGAAAACAAGAATCCCAATGCTGATCTCAAGAAGAAGGCGTCGTCCATCCTCCCCGGTCTCCATAATCGCCGAAGTCGATCTCTACAAGTTCGACCCCTGGGAACTGCCCGCTTCATTACAGTTTCGGAGGCGCACCAATACTGTTGGCCGGACTCCGACGGTTACAAATCAAGAAGCAGATACAACTATGACAGTTACGCTTCTGGGGGAGGTTCTACCACTAATCCCGTGTCAGATAAGAAGTTCACGTACTCACAATGATTTCCTATAGCAGGATCGAGTTCGACGGATTTCGATTTTCTAAAAACAAAAAAAATTCCACATCTGTGCGATAAGGCAATTTGCTGCCCAACGCCCTTGTGCGTAGCCGCTCGTGGCGTTTCCCTATCTCTGACACCCTTTCCGGTGAGTTTGCCTATTTTTTTGCAGGAGTTGCGGGCTGGGATCTTCGGTGAGTCTTTCCAGCGGGTGACGAGTCTTGCCGACGAACGGCCAGGCTAGTGGGCTGCAGTTACATCTTTGTGCACTTACCTCTCATGTGGCTTCATTCTTGTTCAAAACGCTCCGGCCTTCGGACGGTTATAATTTCATGGCGGTTACAATTCTAATGGACAAGCAGTCACAATTCCAAACACGATCCTATCCTGCATTCAGCTAAGTCTATTAATTCTTTGGGCTAATACCACTGGGAAACCCGAACTATTAAATTTGTGTCATTTGTGTCCTAAAGTATTCGATACGACATTTGTGTCACAACCTATTATAGTTTTGTGTCATTTATGTCCTGACGATTTTGTTGACCGTTATATATAACGGTTGACCAAACGAAAGTCAACATTAACATTGACTTTTGTTGACGTGGCAGCCACGTAGATGCCACGTCAGTGACACCTCATATTTTTAATTAAAAAAAATAAAAAAATAAATTGTTATAAATTGATATTATAAATTGATATTATATGGAGGACAAGGATTTTTTTTTAATTTTTTTTTGTTTTAGATTATTCATTTATATGGAAAATAATTATAAATTGATATTATAAATTCCACGTCAAATGCCACATCAGCGCTGACTATAGTTTTTGTTAAAAATTAACGGTCAACGCCAGTCAACTATAACGGAAAAATAGTTTGGGACACAAATGTCGTATCGAATACTTTAGGACACAAATGACACAAAGTTAATAGTTCGGGTTTCCTAGTGGTATTAGCCCTAATTCTTTTTTAAATTTATATTTAATTATTATTATGTTTACGATTGTGTTTGATATTTTTGATGGGAGTTGCAATTGTTTTGGAATTCGATGTCTCCTAATGATAGTGAGGATTTGGTTGTCTTCGAACATGGAGTATATTTCTTCTACTAGTTGGCTTTGCCATATTTGTTTTTGTGTTACAGATGACATAGTTTGTATAGCTTGTGGAGCATTTTTGGTGGAGGTCCGTTGTATTTTAATTTTGTTAGTCCCGTTAGGGGGTTGTCTGCGTGTTATTTTGCAGGTACCGTGCACATAAAATCTACTGCTAGGCTATTGGAACTCGACGAACTGGTGCTTCAAGGAATTTGCCGAAAGAAGACTTCTTTTGCGTTTTTTCGTTTATTTATGTTACTAGGTATACTAACAGGGCTGCCGATTGCGTGGCATAAATGGCCCTTGCATCGGTAGCAACCCTTTTGGTTGACTACCGCTCTTTAATTTCCAAAGTACTATAATACCCTATCTATTATAAACTATCTATGACAAAAAAAAAAGTTTGAACTATTGTGCAAACTCTCCGTTGAGGATTCCAGGTGATTGTACAAGGTTTTTATCAACCAGACAATCACATTTGCTCGTAGCGAGCGACAACTATACTGATTGGCCTTTCCCACAGGTTCGGGATCGTTTGACCGGTTTCTGCTTTATCTTTACTTTTCTGCGTTCTTGAAGAAAAACCTAGAAAATCCAAAAATTGGAGTGTTGCGTATTCTGATTGTTGAGCGAGTTTGAATCCCTCGAACCCGGCTCATATCAGTTTGGACATATTTTTAGTATGCTTAAGGAAACTTTTGGTCGACTTAATAGTGTTTCTTATATGCTTAAGGGAACTTGTGTTTGGCTTTGTTGGGCTTCTGGTATTCTTCAGGAAACTTGTGGACTGGTCGGTTTTATGAGGTTCCTGATATGGTTTAGGAAACTTGTGGTCGACTTTATGAGGTTTTTTTTATGTTTGAGGGAACTTCTGATCAACTTTGAGTTTATAGTTTACTTTATGAATTTTGTGGTGTAGTTACCTTTTTAGTCTACTTTATGTTATTTGTGATGTGAATTGTTTTGTTTCTGTCTCGTATTTTTTGTAGGGGTGGGCAACGGGACGGGACGGGATACTCGTCCCGTTTTAAATGGGTACCCAGTCCCATTTGGAGACCGAAGTCCATCCCATATCCCAAACCCATATGGAAAACGGGTACCCATTACCCGTACGGGACGGATAACGGGTACCCATACTACCCATAAATACCCAAAGTTTAAACCACTAAAATTTTAACAAAAGTTTAAACTTAACTTGTATTTACTTAACAATCACAAGACACAAAATACATCCCAATCACAAATACTTGGTTTGTAAATTACACATTCATGAACAATCACAACACATAGAAATAAATCATTCCAAGTATCAAATTATAAAAAAAAAAAAATTTCATCAAACATGTCAGTGAAAGAGTGAAAGGGTAAGGGCCGAAATGGCCAATGGGTTTTGAATTGGGTTTGTCTGAATTAAATTTCTGCATTTGTATTGAATGGGTATAACGGGTACCCATATTACCCAAACGGGTATTCGCGGGTAACCCGCGGGTACCCATATTAGGAATGTTCAATCCCAAGTCCCATCTGTTTATAATATTATGGGTAATATGGGTACCCATAACCTTTAAAAAACGGGACGGGTACGGGTATACCCAAATACCCGTTTCCCGTTGCCCACCCCTAATTTTTTGGTATACTTCATGATACTTGTGATCGTGATAGGATGCATAATTAATGAGCAAGGCCACATGTGTATTCCCCTCTATAATTTGTAAAAACGTCAAGCATGTCCATCCACTTAAAAGTTAACATTAATTGTGATCAACTCCATAAAAAAAATCAAAATTAAATACTTTTTTTTGGTGAAATTAGTTTTGGCACAAAACTAATAAGTTGGATTGTTAGCAACCTAACCTTTATCATTATTTATAGTGCTATGGATGGTTCCTTATTTTTCCATCTACAGGGAAGAATAGGATTTGAATTAACTATTTAGCCCATGGGAAAACCTTGCCGCGGGGAGAAAGAAACAGCCCGCTTTAAACCCCAGCACACACATTGTGCTTCTGCAACCTGAAGCTGTCGGTATAATCTCGATATTCCGCCAAACATGGCGTTGGTGGCCATGCTTCTTCGCAGAGCCAGGTGCTCGACTGGTCTTCCTCCAGTGATCCCCGCTCTTGGGGCCCGGAGAACCTTCCAGAGTGTCGTCCGCGCGATGCTCTGTTCCGGAAAGCAGAGTCCAGCGCAAGGGATCAATAGCGCTGGTAGTGGTTTCCGTCGTCCAATCCTTGGATTCGCAACTGCTTCCGTCGCAGAACCAACCGCCGACGAGAATCTGGTTGGGGATTTCGTGACAGTACCAAGCGCCCAAGAGAATCTGGTTCGGGCTCTCGAGAGCAGAATCGACAGCGCCGGGTTGCCTAAGGTACGATAAATTACTAACCCTCCGTATCACATGGTCTCTGTAATTCAACTTTGAGCGGTTGGAATTTGACTCTTGCCCGCTTTGTGGTAAAATCTCCGAGCAGTTTCCCGGCGAATTCCCGTTTGATATCAAAAGGTACCCGGAGAGACTAGTTCTAAAGAGAACGTTTCACGAGGAAATCGTCAGAATCGAAGTCAATTTGTTGTATGAAGTTGAAATTGGGCGCATCCCCATGCTGGTCACCATTACCAAAACCAAAACCAGGAATAGGCAGTGGTTGGAGTTTCGTCTCACGGCTTCCCCTCACGAGTTCACAATAGAGAGCTTATCAGTAAGAGAATCTGAGCCACCAGCTTCGAAAGAAGAACCTTTCTTCCAAAACCCTGATTTCAGGCAAGTAATTCTCACGCTGATACCACTAATGAGAATGTAAAAAGTGTTGGATTGTACTCTGTAATTGGACATGTGGGTACGTTTGTTTCCTCTTTGGCAGTGAGCTGGATTGCAACACGCAGAAAGCTTTCTGCGACTATTTGGAAGCTAAAGGGATCAAACCCAACACACTTAACTTCTTGTTCCAATGCGTGGCTAACAAGGACAAGAGAGAATGCCCCATATGGTTGAACAAAGTCAAGAACTTTGTGGAGAAGTGAGACCAGTCATCCTCTGGTGAAGCTGGGCAAAAGAAGATACCACTTTTAATCAATTCGCAGCTACTTAGCAGTTCACATCTCCATTGTATAAATCTGAGAGGGGGACTTTCTTCTTCTTTATTGTTTTTGGTTTTTTGGTACAGGTAGTTACAGTTTGCCATGCTTAAATATGTTCCAAGTCATTAGCACATTTGGCAATGGTATTTGAGAGAAAATATTATGTAGAATCTAATTTACTCTTCAGAATCTAGTAGTCCGTGACTCTCCGTGTCCAGCCACCGGCACTGGAATCCCTACGTTGGATTCTTGTTCTGGTATAAATTTGTTGGTGTATGAATATTTGTTGGAGGTTTGTGATATATAATTTTTATTGGTATGGATTATCAAACTTCTAATATGCATTTATTAATTTCTTGTATTGATTGTTACCAAGTTTCAAGAAGGCAATTAGGCTTACTATGGCGAGCGTTGGGGTCTTGTTTAGTGCGTAGTTCGTCTAGGTGACGTCTAAGAGTTTCCAGACGTTGGAAGCAAAAATAGAAACTAAATGACGAATGAAATAATTGTTTTAGAACACTTCTACTTCACTTCAAATGATTACCAAGTTATTTAACACTTAATAATGAGAAAAATAGCTCAAAAGTTTACAGAATCATAGGCCTCATAAAGTTCTTGAGCTATTGAGAAAATTGAGAGAAAAGTTTTAGATTATAGATGATGTTAATTTCTCCATTTTGATTTTGATTGTTTATCTCCGCAAAATTATACTAGGTGTCCTCGAACTAAGCGACCACGTTCGAAATTCCTAACTTGTTGGGGAACCCCTAAGTAAGAGGTGTCAATCGGGTGGGTTAGGGTTGGGTTCAATTGGGTTATGGGCTTGTTGAATTTCGGTTGAATTAGTTTGCCGGTTAGTAGATTTTGTGTGGCGGGTTTATCGGGTTACAGGCGGTTGGGTTGTGAGTTGACCGAGTTGCGGGTCAATTGGGTTATAGGTCTGATGGGTTGCGAGTGGATCGCTTAGCGGGTTGTTCAGGGCAACATTGTGTGTTACTTCTTTACTTGTTACAACTTAGTAACTTACAATAATTTCAAACGTTTTTTCGCAATTTTTTGTAAGTTTTTTTCTACCTCATATGAGTATGTATAAAAGTTAGTTAAAAAACTTATCAAAGTGCTAAATTATTTTTGTATTCTTTTAGATGATTAAGTTATCAGAATCGTATGTATTAACATACCATACTTAACCTCATTTTGAAACCAAAATGCAACTCTAGCACAACTTAAATGTGTCATATCTTTACTTTAGCTGTAGAATGATGACCACGTAGTGCAAAAGTTGCAGCAAGTGTAGAAGCATAGAAAGCAAGTAGACATATTAAGTGACCTTTTCTAAAACAAATGATTGTTGAAACTAATGGTTAATTTAGTTATTAACTTCATAAGAAATCTATATATATATATTGGTTCAGGCTAGCGTACGTCAGACATACATTGTACGTCCGTCGAGTTTTACTATTTAGAGCACGAATTAACTGAAGATTGGAGCATGATACTATACCCTAACCTTTAATGGGTGAACCACAGTCCCTAAAATTCATTTAACCTAAAAAATAATAACTGACGGTTCTGATTCAGCGAAATATATTGAAGTGCAAAAACCAAGTGTGAACACTGGCGTACAACGTATGCCTGACGACCCGTTGAGTTTGTTATTTAGACAATGAATTAAGCGGAGTTTGGAGCATGATACTATATCCTAACCCCTAATGGGTGAACCCTAGTCCATAATTTTCTTATCCAAACCATGAGATTCGTTTAATCTTAAAATGAAAATCAACGATAATTTTGACGAATTAGAATCCTTGATTTTCATTTCAAGATTAAATGAATATTATGCTTTGGGTGAATAAAATGGGGGCTGAGATTCACACATTAGGGGTTAGAGTATAGTATCATGCCTCGAACTCTGCTTAATTCCTTGTCTAAATAACAAAACTCAATGGGTGTTTGGTCGTACGTACACTAGCCTTTGCCATATATGTACGATTCTCTAAACTTAAACCCGAAGTTCAATTTAATAGAAAATATTAATTGACCGTTGAGATTGGTCGGAGGTCAAAAAAGGAGATCTAACACATATCACATGGAGTATGGTATACTCCTATAGTATACCAGTCATTACAATGGGTGGTTCTATCGTGCATTAACTTAAATCAAATGTATGGTATATCTTGAGTAAGAAAATGATATCTAAACCTTGAATTGATCAGAGTTTGGGACATGGTACTATACACTCACCCTTAACGATTAATATCTCTAAATTCTATAAATCTCATTCTATTAATGTCATACACTAAGATCAATTTAATTAGAAACCATAACCGAATGTCAAGATTCTTCAAAATACATGCAACAAATTATGCATATTTTTTTGTGTTTAGAGTCTATTATTTAGATAATTAAGACCTAGGGTTCACTCATCAAGTGGCATGGTATATAATCATGTCCCAAAATCTGATTAATTTGTGGTCTACATAGTATAATCGTAAACTTCAAATTATATAATTTCACACCCTAAAATGAGTCAAATTAGTTCATATAGCTATATAAAGTATGTTGTTTATCATAAGCTATTAAATTAGTTCATATAAGTGTTCAAGGTTATTTGTACTATAACATAAATGATTGGTTTATTATGATAAAATAACCCATGATAAATTCTCAAATATAATATAACCGATTTGTCATGCCATATAAGGAAATAACTAGATTTACTAACTAAATGCTTAACTCTTAACTTATAATTGATAAATATTGTGATAATCACATTCATAAATAATCAAGTATATGATCTATAATATAAAATAGCATGCATTCGAGATAGTTTGAGTAACGTTATTGAGATGAAATAACTCATGATATGTTCTTATATCTACTATACTCGATTAGTCATGCCTTATAAGGCTATAATAAGGTTTACTATAGACAATATCTTTATCACTAAATGTTAAACTATTAAACCATCATATATAAACATCGTGATAATCAAATTGATAAGTAATTAAGTATATAATTTATAATGTAAAATAACCTGCACTTGAGAAAGTTCAAGTGATATTATATTGAAGATGAAATAACTCTTCATAGGTTCTCAAATATAATATAAACAATTAGTCACTCCATATAAAGGTATATAATAGTCAATTAGTTATGTTCTTTTAGAGTCCTATTTACCAAAAAGGAAGTCGGATTATCATTATATGCTAAATAGTTGGAAATATTACCTCTATCATGAGTTCCATGATAATAACTCACAACATAAGTATCCTCATTTCGTAGTACTAGGTCTACTATCTCCACATATAAAGATATGGAGATTAGGTCATAAACACCAATGAATCTGTAAATTAATGTCATATGTGATGTCTATTGTCACATGAACAATTTCTACAATTAGATTCATGTTAATTTCATTGCACCTATATAAATGAATTGCACTTACAGTTGAAGCATATTTGGTAAGAATTGTAAAAAAATAAAACAAACATTATATGACAAAGAAGATGACGATTGTGTGATGAGTTATTAGCATAAATGATCACAAAACTTTGAGCTTTATTCAAAACGGCAACACAAGTTTCATTCTGCACGATTCAGTAACAAATATTCGAACATTTAATGAAATGGTAATTTCTGTCTATTTTCATCCAAAAATTTCATAAACACATCCAATAAGGAGTCCATATGAAAACCCTGAATTTGCACATGTTTTTCCACTGATTCTTGACCGTTTAACTTGCATTATTGCTCTCATAGACTATTTTACGCTAGGTTGTGCTAGTTTGTGATGTTTAAGGTCCTGGTACATGAATGGGCGCTTGAGAGCAAGTTTCGAGACACTTTGGAGTGGCTTGGAAGAGGAGCAAGGAAAGATTATGGTCAGGCTTCCAAAGTTACGGCTTGGGCCATAACTCTCCAGTTCCGACCGTAACTTTAAGGAAGAGAAGCAGAAGCCCATCCCAAAGTTACGACCCAAGTGTTAAGATTTCGTCATTGACCGTAAAATCCCATTGAAGACCGTAATTCTTGGTTTGGGTTAAGACACCTCGACGTTTTTGGGGAATTTAGGGGCGGAGGAAGCATGTTATGGCCGTAACATTGGTCGTAACTCACGAATCTCCCACATATAAAAGGCAGACTCGGGCAAATTGGAGGGGATTTGGTTTTCCAAGTTTTGAATCAGCAAGAGATACTTAGAGAGAGAAAGTGACTAAGAACAACCTTGGGAAGGGATTGCAGCAATCTAAGGTCACTGGAGATTGATCTTTCACCCTCGGAGTGCCGATTTCTTGCTTGAAGAATAATTTCATCCTCGCACGATGTTTTCCACTCCAAGCCTTGTATTTTCCCTACTCTCCATGGACTAATCTCTCTTCTAATCTGGGAATGAAAAAATGATTATATGAACCCGATTTTGTGGATGATTGACTTTGATATATTCATCTAAGGCATTATTCAGAATTGCACGAGTCCTAACCAACTTCTTATGATTCCTGATTTAACCTAGAACGATAGTCTCTTCATTGGTTAAAAGAGAAACCTTAAATGGAAGTAGTGAATCGATTAATTTTTTCGAGGAATCAATTCACTACTCTGTACTGGAACTGAAAACCAGTAGTGGAAGTTTGGTGTGTTAGTGCCTCGTTTAGCTTATTCCAGTGGAGGTTAGTCGCCCAGGTATTCGAACTGAGAGGGTCTAGAATTCCTTAGTCGAGATTCCAGACCTGTCAAGAACTTTCCGCAGTATATCTGTCAATTGAAATGAACTTGGGGAATTATATTATGAACTAACTGCATACTAGGGGGACAAATACCTGGGTGAATTTTCTCATACTTTAACCCAGAACATTTCCTCATTTATGTTTACTTCACTTTCAATCACTTCATTCGAATTCCATCGTTAGATAATAGATTTGCACTGAGTAACCAATAGAACTAGGACCGGGTTGACAATTAGAACCTGAACCACTATACTGCATTCCTAGACTGCGATTATACTTGGTCATAATTTAGTTGTGTTGGTAAAAGTGAGCCAAGTTCTTGTGGGATATCCTACGTGCATAGCCGGACCCACGCCTCTCCGTTTGGGTCACCGTAGTTGTTCCTTCGGGCCTTGCTCACTCACTCCATGCCTGGAGGCCTCTGATCAGGTGACTAAGAGGTAGATGCGTGCGCTGATCTTAATGTGTCATGCAGGAGATCGCCTCCACTTAGGCTTCATGCTGGCCATCTCTTTCTCTTGAGTGAAGACTGACTCGAAGGTTCTGGTGATGCACGGAGGGACTTACATAACTCGCTTGGCCCATCACTTTGGTGTCCC